AGTGTACAGACTGAGGAGGGGGAGCACTGGATGAGGCGATGCCCCTGACTAGTGAGGTTGGGAAGAAGGAGGCTCACCCTTTCTCCTTTGGTGCTCTCTACGCTACTCCTCTCTATCTCCCTTCCCCTCCCTCATTCTTTGAGAAAAATGTGTGTTTTAAATAATGACAGGTTTCAGAGTAGCAGCCGTGTTAGTCTGTATCCGCAAAAAGAAGAACAGGAGTACTTGTGGCACCTTAGAGACTAACAAATTTATTAGAGCATAAGCTTTCGTGGACTACAGCCCACTTGCTGTATGTATGCATCCGAAGAAGTGGGCTGTAGTCCACGAAAGCTTATGCTCTAATAAATTTGTTAGTCTCTAAGGTGCCACAGGTACTCCTGTTCTTCTTTTTGTTTTAAATAAGTGTCTTTGTTATTTAAAAAAAAATGGCTTTCCAGATATATGTAAAACAATTAATCTGCATTAGAAATTAATGCCCTGAATTTACATGTGAAGAGAAGTCGTTTTTGAATCATTTTTGATTATTAAAAGAATATTTAGTGAAGCCAGGCAAATATATTTGTTTAAACCTTCATCTAAAATAGGCTGAACTGTTCCTCCTCCCCCCTCCCAATATGTAATTTCAAGATGAGACCCATATTCTATAAACACCCAAGTGTTTAACTTCACACATGTTGAATAGTCCCATTCAGGGCCTAAATATGTGTAAAAGCTTCCATCTGTGTCAGACTTTAGGAATTTTTACAACAGAATTACAAGCCTCTGGAAATAGGTTTATGTACTGTTAAACCTACTGAAACTACAATATTTTGGCCCTATCATGTGACTACTGAAGTCATGGTGAGTTTTGATATTGACATCAATGGGAATCAGGCCCTATATTGTATTGTCTAGAGCAGGGATCGGCAACCTTTGGCACACGGCCCGCTAAGATAAGCCCCCGGGCGGGCTGGGCCGGTTTACCTGCTGGGTCTGCAGGTTCGGCCGATCGCAGCTCCCACTGGCTGCGGTTCGCTGCTCCACACCAATGGGGGCTGTGGGAAGCAGCGTAGGCCGAGGGATGCGCTGGCTGCTGCTTCCTGCAGCTCCCATTGGCCAGGAACGGCGAACTGTGGCCACTGGGAGCTGCAAGCGGCCGTACCTGCGGTCGCTCAGGTAAACAAAGCATCTCACGGCCCGCCAGGGGCTTACCCTGAACAAGCCGCGAACCAAGTTTGGGAACCACTGGTCTAACCCAATATGGCTGTTCTGATGGTCTTATTTCATTCTTGTTCTAAGTCAAATAGACTGCCACCTTTTTCAAACACCAAATTCATTTGTCATGAAAGGCAAATATGTTTTCCTCCCACTCTTGTTAACATGTGCCCTCTCCCTTTTTTCTTCTTTTTGCTCTCTCTGGTCTCTCAAGCCTATATGTTTAATCTTTTCTGGTTATTTCTTTTATTTGTGGTAATTCCCTCCTTCTGCCTGTGACCATCCCATTTTTCTATGACTTTCTTCTTTCTTGCATCAGTCTTTTTGTTCCAGATGCATTATCACGGAAATCTGTGAATTTACACCTTAATGGAACACTCCCTGCTGTGCTGTCAACAAATGGGACTGACCACTAGCACAGTCTGTGTAAATTTAATATCAAATATTGGTTCCAGATGGACAAGCTCAGTTATTTGATTGCTGTAGATTACCAGAAAATGAAGGAGAATTATAGGTCTGGTCCTTGTGTCTGAGTATTAGTAATAATATATTGTCATGTATTAATAATACAGTGTTGTGCAACAAAGCAGTAGTTGAGGGTCCCTCTGTAGTTCTATTATAAAATCAAATTTTTGGATATTGGATGGCTCAGAATATTAGTAATGAGGTAAAGAAGCTTTCTGCTCTGAGTCACTGCTTCAAATTCATCCCAGGTAAGATGGTCTAAACACTGCTGTCTGATGGCTGTTTTGGCCTGTATGAGTGAGTTGCTGGTCTCAGTGGTAATTCCTAGTGGAATGGTGAGCGCCTTGTTGGCATTCCCAAGACTAATGATCAAATGAGCATGAAGACTGAACTGCCCTTTCTCTGCTTAAGGCCCCAATCCTGCAAGCTCCTCCCTGTGGGCAGCCCTTGATGTAGGATCAGAGACCTAAGATGAGGTCTGACTCCTAATGGAAGAGAAGCTTGCAATGCTGCTGCCTCTTGCAGTGGAGAATGGAAAAATTCAGTTTCCATTGTTGTCGTATACCTTTTATGAGCACTGAGTTCACTTTAGAAAATAAACCGTTATTTCAGAGTTTGGGGGTTGTTGTGTTATTGTTTTGGTTTTTGCTGCAATTTCAATGAGGTCTAGTTTTTGGTAAATAAGGTAATATTTTAGGGCATTTTCTATTTCTTTTTCCTCCTATCAATTTTTTAAAAATCTGGTAAATTTTAAACAGGGTGAAAGAAAGTTCTTGGAGTGCTTAAGATACACCTCTACCCCGATATAACGCGACCGAATATAACACGAATTCGGATATAACGCGGTAATGCAGCGCTCCGGGGGGCGTGGGGGGGGGCGCGAGGCTGCACACTCCAGCGGATCAAAGCAAGTTCGATATAACGCGGTTTCACCTATAACGCGGTAAGATTTTTTTGGCTCCTGAGGACAACGTTATATCGGGGTAGAGGTGTACTTGTATTGGCTGTATAAACGAGCAGAACCCTGCACCCTCAGAAATTCATTTGCTAGAAACAGGCCTTAATGCCTCCCAGGAGGAAAATAGCCTGCAATACTATTATCTGGATTTATTAATAAAAGGTCATTTTATTTCTTTTTCCACTTGTTTAAAAGGATTGGTGACCACAACCCCAAAGGGTGGGGCAGAAACCATATTCCAGTGCTTATTTTATATTTATTTGTGTCACTATGAAACAGTTTATCTCCAGAATTATAGATACTGGTAGCTTCTTAGTCTTGCGGATTTTCTGATTTAAGTTATTTGATTTTCAGTGTGAATTAGAGTTCATTTTGTAGAAAAAAAAGTTAGATTGCTTTATAGTATGCACACGGGCAAGTTCTATATGTGCACATCACACAAATACAGTCTGGGTATGGAGACCATGTAAATTGCTGACTGTGCACCCAATACTCCTGGGGGCATTCTGCGCCAAAAAAATAAATAAAAAAAATTCTGCACCAAAAAATAAATAAATCTGTGCACAATATTTTAAAATTCTGCAAATGTTATTTGTCAAAATAACACTACATAATCACCCCCATTTCAATTATTTTGGTAATTTATTTCAAAATACCTGTCAGGAAGTATGTCTATAACAATACAGACACACAGAAAAATTCCCCTAGGAGTAGAGAGTTAAAGAAACCCCTATGACAACCAGTTCCTGTTTCTCTACCCCCTTCCCCCCCCACGAGCCCAGCCAGGGGGCCAGACACCCACAACCCCTGCCCCCCAAGCCCAGCCATGGTTCCCCCGCCAATACACCCAAACCCCACAGAGCCCAGCCACGCCCCCCCGGCCCAGATATCCGCATCCTCTTCCCTAGAGCCTAGCCGCAGGGC